CCGATCTCGTCGCTTTTATCGGGTAACTCGCACAGAGCAGAATGATGCTCGTAGTCACCGCAGTGAAAGCAGCGCTCGAAGTATTTCACACAGCTGGTTCCTCCACGACAATACTCAAGACACTCAGGGCACTTTCCTCTGTCGTCGATCATTCGGCGGCGCACATAAACAGATGTAATCTGGTCACATGAATCCGAATAATGCTTGCCGAGTGCTCTGCAAAAGGAGCAACGCATGCGTCGTTCTTTGTCCTTTCTGATTGCTCCATAGCCATATCTTCTTGGCGGACAAGTAGGATGTTGGCGCAGATCATTAATGATTTGACGAAAATTGCTGCGAGCTTGCTGAAGTTGCTGGATTTCCTCCTCAATCTGTCTTCGCATGTTGGCGTTTTCTTGTCGCACGCGCTCATGTACGTCTCCCTCCGGTTCACCATCTTCTTCGATCGCTTCTTCTTCCTCTAACTCGACTTCTTCCAGAAAATCGGCATTTTCCTGGATTGCCTCTCTTTCTTGATCGTGCATAGCTATGCCCTCCGGCGCAGGCGAACCTTGCGGAGAGTCTCGTTCTTGGAGAACAGCTACCTCTTCCACTTCTTCATGATGAGGATCGTCCATTGCCTTATCATCCTGGACACGGCCACCGACAGTAGGCGCTTCACGTTGTTGTTCCATGGCAAACAAAGCTGCATCCAGAGAAGACTGAAGCCTTGCAACAGTCGCTCGCATGTGATTTTGGAAGTCGAGGGTGTCTTGACGATCTGCTTCCATGATCGCTGCCCGGAGTTCGACGAGCGTTTGACGATTGCGATCAAGTTGATGAAGCTGATCCGAGGCAACTAGTTCAATGACTTCTGGCCGCACTAAGAGGGGGTCTCCGGCTTCGTTCCGATGTGGACGGTCCATCCACGTACGCCAGACATCCATCGTAATAACTTTCGCAGCACACAATAGTGCAGGCCCGGTGAAGAAGGTGCGAAGTTGAGATCGGATGAACACTATCTCGATGCGCAACTTCTCCACGGAGAGCTCTAGCAGGGCGACTTCATGTAGACGATTTTCGTTACTGTCAGCTGATCGGCGCAAAGCGTTGATGCGGTTGTCCAATTCGGTTGTCCTCGTAGTGCAAGAGTAGAATTCGTGACAAAGATCGAGAATATTTTTATAAAGTCGCTCTGGGTCAGGGAGAGGAAGGGCTCGGCGCAGTTCTCTCAATTCGTGCGTCTTCTCGTCCAGTTCTTGGCGCACACGTGCGAGTTCTTCTTCAGCATCACGCAAATCACGGCGCAAATTTTCCATCTTCTGAAAAACCGGAAGTGAATACAAATAATACTTTTCTTTTTATATTTTAGTAGTGATACTAATCAAGTGCAGGCGCCTTTGCACTATCTATTGATTTTTTTTCCAATGACTAAGCCCTCCACTACGGCGGCGCCTCTAATTGCAAACTAACTCCATGATCGTGTATTGATTATTGACATGCATGTCTAAGCACTCTTCTTGCCATTTGCTTGTCGATGCGCATATCGATCTTTGAGGGTGCGTACTAACACAAAGAGCATGCGCAATGGAAAACAGCTGAGTGCCCACACTATACGCATTGCAAAGAGAAGGAGGCGCAGTCCAATGGAGCTTATGCATATGTAGGACACCAGTAGAGCTAATGCAACTGCTAGGAGGGCTATTAGTAAGGTTTTGTACCATGTGAAGATGATACTGAAGATGTGCCCAAAGTCTGGCCACTGGAGTTCCTGGTAAATGTTGTTGCGACCCTCTACTGTTGATAAAAGAGCGGGATGAAGGGCGTTCACGTAGTTGAGTATTCCAGAAAGCACGAAGGTGTTACTTTTTGTGCCACAGGTGATAGTACATTGGAGTAGTTGTCGCGCTGATTCGAAATGAAAGTTCAACACGGATTCAGGTCCGTTAACTGCGCATGGAATTGCAAACGTCTGATGGCCACATAGAACTTCCCCAGTTATCTCAGTTGTTGAAAAGCATCGGACTGTAGCGCGTGCGCCTCTCGAGCAGTGGTAACAACCTTGCAGTGAAGCATCATCTATGGTACAGACGTCGTCCCGAGTCACTTGAAGTGCGGTATCTATAGTTTGATTAAAGTTTACAATAAACTCTGATGATACCGTCCGAGGAAGCTTCGCAAAAAGTGTTGAGTTCCCGCTGCGCGTTAGTTCCCAAAAAGCTGTTTTTACCGGGATTTTGAGCGCGAGTTGTCGGAACTCCTTCTCGATATCATTTGCAGGGCAATTGCAAACTACCGTGAATTCCGCAGCAGTGCATCTGCAGTCGTCACGGACTGTGCAATTGAAAGTCTGAGCTTCTTCCCATGTTTCGCAGCGAAGAGGTGGATTAATAGTTCCACTCCATATGGACGTGTCGATTCCGTCGGAGATGAATTCTCTTGCAAGCGCTGGAGTAGGTGGTACCGAAAGAGACGTCAAAGTGAGCTTGAAGAGGAGGGATGATCACGGGAACATTCGGAATAGAGTAAATCACGAAATGCTGGTTACCTAATGACGTGTCCATGTTTTCTATAACTACCTCCAGTTTCACGTGCTCTGACCAGCGCATGCAGCGAAACACTTCATAAACTTTGGCGTTGCGTGGAGTAGCATATACTCGGTAAAACAAACAACCCGAACTTGGAGTAAGGCACACACATCCAATTCCTCCACATGATTCTAGGCAGCCTGTGCGCCCCGGGTATTTGTTTCCCTCGTTTAGCTCTTTGATAAGACTGGTAGCTTTTACTCCTGCGCATTTCAAGCCTTTGCACGATCCCCAGCTCGAGCAGCGCTTGCTGCTGATCACATTAAGGTTCACAGAGCGCGTAAAGTACAGGCTCTCCTGTTCGCAGCGCAAATACAATCCTCGCCATCGCAGTTTTACGTTCGCCACAAGCGTTGAATTCCGAACAAGATGTAGACATGCTTGCTGTTTATACGAATTGATCTTCATTACTTCTGTAAGCGCAATTGTACACCTTTCCCTGCCGTTTACGTCATGACACAACGTAGAGTGATGCTCTAGAATATCCACTTGTTGGCACGCGTTTGCTCCCGATAAAAGCGCAACTAGTACCGCAAGTGCCGCTGCTATGCGCGCGTTTACGGTAGGTTTCCTGCGGAATTTCCGAAGTACGCTTATGACGCAATGTCCAAGGAGGCGCAGTACGAGATGAAAGACTAGTCGTAAGCCTGACAACATGATCCGTATTGGCTTTCCAATTGTCATTGGCACATATAGTAAAAGGTAAACAACGGCCACAAAGCTGTACAGTAATAGCGCGATTGTTAGAATTGCTCCCATTGGCCAACATTCCGGGTTGAAAAGTATGGAAGGGCAGACCCAACAATCAATATTCGAGCAAAAGTCTATCCCTTGACATACTGTTGAAATAGTAGCCAACTTTTCATCAGTGTGCCACTTCAAGATAACATTATGGTCGTGTAGAGTCACTTCAGGCGGAAAGCGCACAAGTTGCTCCCCTTCCACACCTTGCTGGATTTTGCAGATGTTCTCCGCACAGACTTGTAGCTCCCGAGCCTTATCGGCATGAATCAGTACTCCGTTTTTCGTGCAGCTTAAACTCATCTCACTAGCATTTATGAATCGAACAAGGGCTAGCAGCATCAGGTAGAAAAGGAACCATTTCGGAGAAAGTGAAGTTGGTCGTTTCGATGAAAGTGTAACCTTGTGCACCTGGCGCACTGGCTTCCGTGGTCGCAAATTGTACCTCGGTTCTCTTTCTTGCGGTGTTACCGTATTTTCGGTGACAGGCTCTTCTTCTATTTCTTCTGCTCTCGGAGAATGGGAAATTTTCCTACTCTCCTGTATTTCAAGAGGAATTAGGAGGTTTACTGGCCTGCGAATTTTCCTCCTGGTTCCGGTTTGGAGTTCTGCTTCACGAATCTCTCCATCCATGCCGCGTCTAACTTCAATTATTCGCGCCATTTTCCAGGAATTCCGAGGAAGGATGGGGTCGTTCACCAGTACTACGTCGCCTACAGTAGGGATTTCGCGTCCAATCCTGTGATTTGAAATGACCCTTTTGTGCGTTTCTCGCAGAGATGTTAAATACTGCGTTTGCCATACTTTCCAGAACAACTCCGTCGCTTCACAAGAACTGTGTAGTGCTTCTACTACTTGTTCACGATATTGTATCGCCCGCAACTCATCCGGCGGTAGGTAGTCTGAGGCGTCGTTGTCTATGCGCTCGGGAATCTTAAGAGTCATTGCGATGTCCCTTTGCAAAAAGTCGATAGGGCGGATAGAGCTCAGTTCTTCCTGTGCTGATGCCTGGTATGTTAGAGGTCTCGAGTTTAAACAAGCCTCAACTTCAGCAACAAAGGTTTGAATGTCATCAAATGACCGCTCTTTCGCACCGCGCAGAGCTTTATAGATTGATTGTTTTATCGACTTGATCAAGCGCTCATAAAAACCCCCTTGCCATGGCGCATAGGGTGTTATATGATTCCATTGGATTTCCTTGTTGGTGACCGAACGAAGGATGTCTACGTTGAGTTGATCACACTGATTGCCCAAAATATTAGCGCTAAGCAGAAAGGTAGGCGCATTGTCACAAGTGATGGATTCAGGAAGACCTCTGCGCGCAATAAATCGTCTGAGCGCATTGATGAATTCATTGGTGGCCATACTTCTCACGACTTCGAGATGGAGTAATCTGGTTACAGTGCATGTGAAAATGCACCCGTACAACTTGTAGTTTTCGCCTTTTTCACGACATGATGGAAGGTCGAAAAAATCCAGTCCTATGTGCTGGAACGGACGACATCGAGAAACGCGGCGATAGGGCAGATCCGCTGTATCGGGGTAGCGGTATGGCAGCGCATTGAAGCGCCGACACTGAATGCATTGCTTAGTCGTTGTTCGGACCTGCTGCCGTAGTTTCGGAATCCAGAATTGTTCACGCACAGTAGCTATCGTATGATCAACACCTCTATGGTAGGGGCCATGTGCGTCGTGTATGATTTTTTGGGCTAATGCAGTATTGGGCGCAATGAATATAGGGCTCTTAGCGTCATCGCTCAAAGCAGACAGACCCAGTCTTCCTTTGGAGCGCCAAATATTATTTTCGTCCTGATAAAGCCGCAAGGTGTTCTCCATGGACTTTCGATATTCTTTCGTCACATAAATGAGCTGATGGTTGCGAATTAAGGCCAATTTTGCCGCGCGTACTTCACAACCTTGCAAAGGACCTGTAGAGTTTTGAATCTGCTTCAATTCTGGAATATGCTCAAGAACCCGTGTCCTAAAAGCCTCAGCTTTGTTCCGGAGGAGCTTTTTTATGAAACGAAGAACAAACGCTGTTACTCGTTTCGCAGTAGGAAGGGAACTGTAGCGGCTCCATTCAAGAAGGTCCTCGAATTCTACGATGTTTCCGCGAGTGACGTTAATATTCGCAGATTCTTCACTCCCAAATTCTGCAAATGCCGGCGCATCGCTCATTGTCAACGAATAGAAAGGAGTGGTCCACGTTTGTACTGGTGTACGCAAAAATGATGGACCGTTCCACCAGTTATGGTCAGTGATCTGCTCTTTAGTAAGTCCTCGTGTTCCGGCATCCGCCGGGTTTTCTGAGGTGCTGACATACCCAAAGACAACAGATACTGCCTCATCTTGCAGTTGGCGAACTATTCTACGTACCTCGCGCAACCTGTTCTCTACCAGTACTCCCAAGTTATTTCGACGGGTCGAAGAGAGCCAACTAAGTACTATTTGGGAATCTGAGAAGATGTAGACGACAGTTGGGTGTCCGAGGTCACGCAGTTTGAGCGCTTGCGCAACAGAAAAGACAAGACGCGTTGCTAAGGTGAGCGCATTCATTTCCAATTTTGGCATAGTGGTCTTCGTTTTTATCGATGGCAACTTACTCTTAGCCATCATCAGCGAAGAAGCGCTCTCGCTGAAAAGGTAAGTACAAGCGGCAATAGCAACTTCACTTGCGTCGGCAAAGACTGCAAGATTTTGCTCCGCTAGGTCTGTCCAACATCGCCTTGGGATGGATTTCCGAAAACCACTGATGTTTCCAGAGAGTTCCATCCATTGGCTGGCAACCTCAGGAGGCAACTCTGTGTCCCAATCAAATTTTTGCCTCCAAAGGTCCTGCTGAAATTTCTTCGCAGGCATGAGTAAGGGGACTAGCCACCCTAGAGGATCGTAGATAGACGCTATCTGGCGTGCAACAGTGCGCTTGGAGATAGGATCAGTTGGAGTCAGGGAACATCGGACTTCCAAACAGTCCGTCTCAGAGTTCCAAG